CCATTAAATAAAAATTTTTATGAAACATTTTATTTGTAATAGTTTCGAAATATACAAGTTTACCAAACATTTATCCTTAATTATTTAAGTAAAACCGCTAATTATTACCCCAACCTATTCAACCAAACGAGCCTTAAATATAATATTCATAATTAATTTTACACAAATTTTTATACCAAATTCAATTTAAATAAAATATAATATTTATACTCAAAATATGTAAAAAATAAATTTAATATAAAATTTAATATAAAATTAATTACAAATACTATAATTAATAAAACTTAAATTATATCTTTAAAATATATGTTAAACAAACCCATACATATTAAAGGGCTTCTTTTTTTTATAATTATAAAATGCACCATTCATGCAATTGAATTGCAAACCTATTATATAATTAATAAAAATGTAGAGAAGAAGTATTTTTTATTCATAAAAAAATAAATATATTTTTCCTTTTTTATCCCATTCACAATATTAAAAGCCACCTGACAAACTTCAAGGGAACATTGACATTAGGACATTTGACCATACCGAGCCTCCCTTATAGATACCCTTTGAAACAACTCGAAGCCATTAGATACAAGAAAAATGATTCTATAACTTGTGTTATAATAAGATAAAAATTAATATTTTAATAAATATATTTTTTAATTATAAACTTATAAAAAAATATAAAAATTAATATTATGCTCTGAATAATGATGCTAATGTATGTTCTTTCTTTTGAGAGGAAAATTTTCTGAAGCTGGGGGGATTTTGGTTGTTCCTTTTTCTTCGTATTGTTGTTTCTATTTGCTCGATGGTGCGACTCTCCATAAAAACTTGCTGTGTGCCCCACTAGCTCGGCTAAAATTGGGTGTTTTGTAGAGGTCCAAGGAATGGTGTTGTCTTGGGCGGAGGTGGATGGAGGTGTGGGGATGATCGACAATGGTTTGGCAGTGGTGATGACACAAGCACAAAGACCGCACGAAGGGGATTTTGGGGTGATGATAGGCTCTTGATCGGCCGTGGTCGACGAGGAGGCTAGGGATTTAATGGTGGATAAACCTGTGCTAGTGGGAGGAAGCTTTGTTGGCTCTAATGGTTAGGTTGTGAAGGCAAATGCGTTAGGGGGGTAAGGTCTACTTTGGTTGCTGCTTGGAGTGTTAGTTTGAAGGGATGGCTGGCTACGATGGTTCTAGTTTTTGTAGGAATGACAGCTACTTGATTATAAGATGAGTAGGAAGGAATTAGGAAGAAAATAAGATGAGTAGAAAGGAATTAAGAAGAAAAAAATTATCTTATGTTATATAATATATCGTCTAACATAAAATATATCGTCTAACGTATTATAAATAAATAATAATAAGTAACAAACAAATGAGATTAATAGATCAAGTAAATGTTGTCAACCACTATATACTTGATTTGAAACTTATAATTAATTTTTTATTTTCATATTAGTTACTTACTCAATTTTTTTTATAATAATTAGAGTATAGTGCTTACCTAAATGTGTTGAAATTAGCGGCAGTTGGAATGCAAGCCCACTTAGTTTGGGCTTTAGAAGATAGAGAATTGGGTGGTGTTGGAAACTTGGAATGGAATTTTAGCTCGCTTAACTTAGGCGTTAGAAAGGAAATTAGGTATTTTGGGGGGGATTATTGTTTACCCATTGGGTTGAACTCGAAAGACCAATTCCAAACCGTAACGCTAGCAACAGAGATAATGGGCCTGATCCAGCCCACAATGAAATCATATAAATATTTGGCGGGAAAGCATCATAATCCCACAAGAGTATGTGAGAAGCTTCTCTCCGTCTAAACTAAAGAAAAACCCTAAAAGGGCCGTCGGGCAACTCTCTCTCTCGTCACGTTTCTTTTCTCTGGCGTCTCCTCCTTCCCGCCACTTCGTCGGCCACCGGAGGCAAATCATGCCGGTACTAAGGTCTCGCGAAATAACTTCCGTCCCGGCCAAATCCTCCCCCAAAACCCGCAAAACCCGCAAAACCCGGGCGAAGGTCGACCCACCCACCACTCCCGCCCGAACCCATGAATCCACCACTGATCTATCGACTCCTCCTTCGCTCTCCCAGAACCCGGAGGCTTCCGGGACAGAAACCGTTAATGCAGCGGCCACCCGACGGAGCCTCCGTCTTGCCTCGAAATCGGGCTCTAGTGAGGATGGAGTTAGGGTTTTGGAGGACAAGAAAGGGAATAAAAGGAAACTGGGCGCGGCTGTTGATTTGTCAGGAGTTAAGGACGGGCAGTCAGGGAAGACGATTGCGAAGAGGAGATTGGAGGATGAGGTGGAATTGGGTTTTGATGCGGAATCAAAGAAAATGGTAAGCAGTATGGTGCAGACTGATTGTTCTGAGGGAGAAAATAATAAGAAAGTGAAGGAGGTTTCAATGGAAGAGGCTGTTGTGGCTGAGAAATTGGAGAGAGACCAGAGTGAGAATGAGAGTAGGAGGCGTGCTAGAGAGGAAAAAGGGAAGATGAAATTGGAAGGGGCAGTTACTCCTGGTAAATTGGAGAGAAACCAGAGTGAGAATGAGAGAAGGAGGAGTACTAGGGAGGAAAAAGGGAAGGCGAAATTGGAAGAGGCTGTTGCTTCCGATAAATTGGAGAGGCAAAAGAATGTGAAGGAGAGCAGATTCAGCAGAGAGGAGAAAGGGAAGGCGAAACTGATGGATGATGGCTTGGTTTCAAGTGTTGAAGTGGAAATGGTTTGGGAATCTGAAGTGAAGAGTTCAGTTGATCATGCTGTTTTGGGTGATATCCTTTCATTTGAGAGTGTAGCTGTGACGAATGAAGGGCTTGATAGGGGGACAGATAATGCGGGGAAGAGGTCCAGAATGGAACAGTTCCGAGATATAGCTAGGCAGAATGCTTCTCGATTTGCTTATTTTGAGCCTGAAGTGGAAATGAATAACCATGTGTCTCTTGAGCCTCAAAGGAATGTGCCCTTGGAAGAAGAACCGAAGCAGGATGTTGAAGATTGGCCTGGACCCTTTTCTACTGCCATGAAGATTATCAGGGATCGAGCAGAGAAGCTGAATTTGCAACAGAGGACCTCCTCTTCTGGAAAAGGAAGACCCGTATCAATTTTGTGGTCTCCTAAATTGGGTCAGGGTCGGGACAAGTTGAAGCGAGTCCCTCCTTCACTACAAGCTCTATGTACTAGGATTTTGGTGAATAATGCTGATGCAATCACATCACTTGAACATGTACCTGATGCTCTTAGGCATAAGCTTAGTCAGCATCTCTGTGACTCTCGGAAAATGAACTATCATTTTGTGGAGCTCCTTGTCAGTGGATCACCTACAGAAATCCGCCTGAAGGATTGTTCACGGTTATCAGAGGAAGAATTTACCAGTTGTTTGGGAGGCTGTGACACCAACAATCTGACGGTGTGTCTATTCTGTTTATACTAGAGCTTATTTTTTTGTATGGTGTTCTCGCTTAGTAGTTGAGCTTACTAGTGTCTTGCTTCAGGAAGTTTGTATACTTGCATATGTTATATAGAATTGCTGCATTTTATTCCCCTCTGATTACTACATTGGCCACAGCCTAAATCTTATTTTATTTTATTTTTTCTTGATTCAGGTTCTGCAGCTTGATCATTGTGGAGGCTGTTTGTCAGATTATACTTTAAATAGTACCATAGCTCAGTCATCAAATAGGTTGCCAGCATTGTGTAATTTATCTCTGGTTGGTGCATATCGCCTTACAGACATTGGGCTAAGTGCCCTTGTTTCTTCTGCCCCTGCACTAAGGTCTATAAATCTAAACATGTGCTCCTTTGTTACTGCCACTGGCATTGACACTATTGCTTCATCATTGGGATCACTTCTACGGGAACTGTATATTGATCATTGTGAAAATATTGATTCCATGCTGATGCTGCCAGCCCTAAAGAAGATAGAGCATTTGGAAGTTTTGTCAATAGCACACAATGAAAGCGTTTGTGATGATTTTATTTGTGAATTTATCACTACACAGGGCAAAAATATTAAAGAGCTCATTTTGAATGACTGTCGGTATGGTTGTTTAGTAAACATGTTTATGTAACTTTATGAAATTTCCTGGTTTTTGAGTAACATTCTGTGTTTTAATATGTTGAATACTTGTGGTTTGTTACAGGAACTTAACTGATTCTTCCTTGAAATCCATTGCGGAAAACTGTTCAGCTTTATGTGCACTGGATCTTGGTTGCTTGTCCAAACTGACAGACTCTGCTTTGGGGTATCTTGCAAATGGTTGTCGAGCAATACAGACATTAAAACTCTGCCGCAATGCATTCAGGTCTTTAGCATAATACTATTACACCATAAAGTAGAATATCTACTATACATTTGTTTTCCACAGTTGATTTAGTGTGGTTCATATTGTGGTTCTATTGTTCAAGAATCAAAAGTAACTACCTCTCCTATAACTATAGGCATTCATGTAGCTAAGAGTTTCAATTTTTGTTTACAGTGTTGATTGAATAATATAAAAAAAAAATGGGAGAAAAACTATAGTTGATGTGTGGAATGAGTTCAACTGATGCTGTGGAGAAGCCCAGCCTTTCTGTCCATAGACTTGTCCATGTAGTGGATATGGGCTAGTTATATTTTTAGCATAGGCAGTACTCTCTACTCTAATAGTCTAATGGCTTCTTTAGATTGTTGGGGGCTTATATTTCCCAGAATTTTTAGATTAAATGCATTCTTTTTTCTTTAGCTGAGTTAGTATGTCTTAAATTTGCCATCCTTCTATTGTCTTACATTTGACATCCTTTCCATTGTATAAATGTTGATTGTATGGGCAGTTTGCATGGCAAATTAAGTTGATGTTTTACCCACTTTATTTTATTTTCCTTTACTTGTTTCTTTTACTTATTTTACATGGCAGTGATGAGGCTATAGCTGCATACCTGGAAACATCAGGGGAGCCTTTAAAAGAGCTGTCACTAAATGGTGTCAAGAAGGTAGTGATTTAGCCCTCCTCTCTCTGGCATTGGCTAGCAAACATATTACTTCAGTTTCAAATATTCTTCATGCTAAAGATGAATGGTTTAAAGTTGTCTCCATGTGGTTGTGATATCTATGGAATTCCAATGAATAATCTTGACAATTTGCTGGTGGCCATCTGCCAGTCTAAATGCTTAATTTATATTCTCCAACTTTCTGATTGATGCATCTCTTGACATTTTGACAGGTTGGTCTGAATACAGCTGTATCACTCTCAAAACATTCAAGAAATTTGATTACACTGAACCTATCTTTCTGCCGGGATTTGATTGACGAGGCTTTGGGTTTGATTGTGGATGGCTGTTTATCTTTGAGAATGCTTATTATCTTTGGATGCACTCAGGTATGAATGACTTATAGGAGACTCACTGTCAAAACTGTAGGATAAAAGAATCATAAATGTTCCACTGCCGTCTTGATCTACTTGAAAGATATAACTGCTTAACATTAGTCTCAAGTTGTGTTTGTGCTTCCTTTGCAGATTACAAATGTTTTTCTAGATGGCCATTCAAATTCGGAGGTACACATCATTGGTTTGAAGTTTTCTCCTATCTTTGAACATCTTAAAGTGTCTGATCCCCTAGAAGGTCCATTACGTTATTCGTCAGTATCCTGTCAGACATGATTTTACCATGAAATTACTGGCTGTACGTCATGCTGTTTTTGCATCTAACTTGGCAATGTCAAAGGAATGCTGCAGCCTCTGGTTTTTGCTTATATCAAATGTTACTCTTTTTCTTCTTTATCAGCTCTCACTTTTTATACATGGCATGAAGTTCTATAAATGGAGATGATAAGTTTCAACACATTCTGACTCAGGATCCAATTAACCTCATAAAAAAAAGAAGTTACGTTCATGAAAAAGAGAAATAAAAAAACAGAGAAATTGAGGGTTCTGTAAATAAATGCATGGGCTCATGTATCATGTTTCCATACAAGAGTCCCTCACAAGGCTACCATAGGTGGAATGTATCCCATTCACATTGCGGTGTGGGGTTAGAACTATGGTTAAACGAGCAAAAAACCACAGGTAAACAAGCTTATTTAATATTTAGCCAACGAGCTCAGAATCAATGTGTTACCGTTAGCAAGAACTGGATGGTGGCATAACGGCGGGTATAGAAGCCAGGGTTTTTTTGTTAGAGGGGCGAATTAAAAGCTTTTATTAAGAATTGGTAAATATTCAATAAAAAAAAAGGGGCTTATAAAGTCCCTTGCTATCTCCTTACTATGAGGATCATGACGAAGGAGCATAATGATAAAACAAAGTCACCACAGCTTGAAGAAGAACTCATAATAACTGGCCACAGAGAATCTTTGGTTGTGCATCAAAGTCTTCATGCTACCATACTCAAGGATAAAGATTGGCTTCGACATAACACTTTCCACACCAAATGTACTTCTCGAGGGAAAGTTTGCAATGTCATCATTGACAGTGGAAGTTGTGAGAATGTCGTGTCCAATTATATAGTTGGGAAGTTACGATTGCTAGTCAAAGATCATCCCCATCCGTACGAGCTACAATGGCTACAAAAAGGAAATGAGGTAAAAGTAACTAAATGTTGCCTTGTGTCTTTTTCTATTGGTATTAGATACCAAGACGAAGTATGGTGTGATGTTATTCTCATGGACGCTTAAAGATGGTACCTAACACCAATGAAAAAAGACACAAAGCAACATTTGGTTACTTTTACCTCATTTCCTTCATTTCCTTTCCGTAGCCATTGTAGCTTGTACGGATGGGGATGATCTTTGATTGGCAATCGTAACTTCCCAGCTATATAATTGGACATGACATTCTCACAACTTCCACTGTCGATGATGACTTTGCAAACTTTCCCTCAAGAAGTACATTTAGTGTGGAAAGTGTTATGTCGAAGCCAATTTTTATCCTTGGTTATGGTAGTATGAAGACTTTGACACACAACCAAAGATTCTCCGTGGTGAACTGTGATGAGTTCTTCCTCAAGTTATGGTGACTCAGTTTCATTATTATGCTCCTTTTCTGCTTCATCGTCAACAATGAGCTTTCATTATCCCTTAAGTGATGGACAGGATTCTCATCGTCATTATTTTCCTCTGACTCATGTAGTTCATCTTGAAGGTGTTAAGCCTATTGACCCTCAAGCTTCAAGTCTTTCTTGAAGCCTCTGATGTTCTTCCATCTTTACATCTCGAACAGTTCGTTGACGAGGAGGATTTTGTCTTTTAAGAGGCATGCTAACAAGGAGAGGTGGATAGAGTGAAAATTTGACAATTTGGACCTCAAAATGGATTCGGGACGTTGAATTTAGGTGGGTATGGGGCTTTTTGGAAAGCTAGTTTTTGAAGTGAGTGATTTAAAATTTACAAAAATGAGGGCCAATTTGTAAAGTCAAAAGAAGTTGAGGGACTTGATGAGGTGGCAACATGGTGCAGATGTGGTGATGACGTGTTAATGACTCGTCTGGTGACGTGGCTCATGCGACATGGCAAATAGATGATGTGGCAAAGACTGGATATTACGTGGCAATGATGTGGGATAATGAGGTGGCAAAGGTTGGGGTTAAGATGACTGGCGCGTGAATTACACGCCATTTCCAATGGTGCTATTTCGCCGGCGCGTGATAGAGCGTGGAACACTTTCCGACGACCAGATTTTCACTAGAATGCTCAAGAGGGCTTGCAGACTTTAAATATGTTAGCTTTGATGCCAAATGATGCTGTAGCCGATATCAAAACACGAATTTTGGTAAGATTTAGAATTTTACTATGATGAATTCGATTACTTGAATCATCATTTAAGTTGACGAAACCTAAAATATAAAGATAAATTGAGAAAAATTAACTATCAAAAACTCACTAAGAGAGGAGAAGAAACTCAAATACTTTGATGAAAACTTGATGGAAACTTGATGCATACAACAAAGGGCTGATGGCTATTTATAGGCAAAATTTAACTAAAGTTAATAAATTAATAAATGAAAAGTAAAATGCAGTTGGGAGTTAGCCATTTTTTTAGACTTAAGTGGCCCATTTTTGCTGACTTTGTTGGCCATTTTTGCTGACTTTGGTGGCCATTTTGACAAAATTGCACCGGCCTAGTTGTAATATGCAATGTTACTATATTGTAGTCAGAGTTGCCGACTTTGTTTTGCAATCCCAGTCCACATATGGTGTGGTGTGTGCATGGCAACCAAACAGAATATCCCTTGGAAGATACCTCGCTCTTCATTGTCTTGAAATAGACAGCAGCTAGAGAGAGCTCCATGAATCTTAGACTCTCCACAATCTTTAGAATCCGATGTGCTTATCTCCATAAATTTAGGAAAAGTGAAATTTGTTCTGCTTAGCCTTTGATTACCAGGAGAATGCAGCTGCAACCGTGTAATAATAATCTTCTTCTGTCTCTAATATAGAAAGACAAAGCGAACAAAGCTCCACGTAATTGCCACAGTCAACTCTGAAAACAACAATGTCCAGGCATGGACAGGACAAAGAAGAAAAAACCAAGCCAGAAAACTGTACATTTACAGGTAAGCAAGGACAGAATTTCGCCCTCTATGCAGGGAAACTTGGTTCAGGATTACAAAGAATGTTACGGTTGTCTGCCTCATCAGCTGCGAACTCGCTTGTAATGGATACTTACCTGGCTGGAAGGTGATTTCAATTTCATTCCAGGGTTAAAGGATCACCAACCGCAAGCACCATTTATCCGTACTCCTAATATTTTTTTTAGTTTTTTTATTAATCTCCAAATCAAGGGTATTTCTTCCCCAATCCAGCTCAAAACATTCAAATGGAACATTTTATATCGAAATGGAGAAAGAACTTTGTTCAATATTGGCATGTAGCCATATGTGCACAGTGGTGTTACAAAATAAACAACCTCACAGTTTACAGTCTTTTCTCTTTGGAGCAGAAAGCTTCCATGGCATATACAATTAACCTGTAGGAATAATAAATCAATGAGGACCTCTGAGCAGTCACAATTCAAAGTGACTGCAATTTTGGTTTCAACTTTCAACTCCTAATTCTTGGCTGCATGGGAGCATTCAAATCTACATTTTCAGTGTGTAAGGAATAAGGATTTCTGTTTTTCATGAAAAAAAAACCGGAAAATAGAAATCCAGAATCCAAGTTGAATTGAGTTTTTCTATGTCTTGACACAAAGCAAGTCAGTCTGTTCTTCTAACAATTGAGAGCTTGCCAATTCAACCATCTGGTAGAGAATCAAATGGCGTGTGTATCAGGCCCCAATGAATATTAAGTCAAGGGCACCAAGGAAATCAGAACGCATCAATGCAGAAACTAATGTTGTTACCTCAAATCCCATCTTTTGGTACAGTTCCTTTGCAGGTCTATTGTTTCTATGCACATGTACATATACTTGTTCAATGCCTGCATATCCAAATAATTGGATTAGAAGAGAAATGTTTTGTCTTTCATTGCACAACTCCTGCTGCTGCTTAAGGAAAGATATTTACATCTTACCATCTGATCTGGCCAATTCCATGACAAAATACAACATGTTACTTGCAATGCTTTGTCTACGTGCTGATTTGGCAACACATAAGTTGGACACGTAACCGTACTTATTTATGTTTGCTGTATGGATACTGCAGGAGAGAGGCTTCCCAAGTTCCTGCCAGAGATAATTACATAATAATCAACAAATTACCAGTTGACAATGACATGACTAAAATTAGGGCAGGTATATCATATTTAAACAGAAAGCACAGTACCCCAGGAAATGACTCTCCATGCAACAAGTGTCGAATGCTAAAATCAAGGGTACCGACTATGCTTTTTAGTATGGTGCGTTTTACATTTCTCTCTTCTTTCTTAACCTGTAAATTTATCAAAGTATCATGTCAAAATTAAATATAGAAAGACACAAATCCGTCCAACCAGTGAAACCTAGTTCTGTTTTTTCACATCATCATGGAGAGAAACCAATCAGAGATGCCATGAGAAAATAATCCTTAACGAAAGAGACTTAAAACAAAATGAAACAAATATAAAACTGAAGGAAATACTTAAAGAAAAAACCCATACCGTGATCATGCACCTACATTTCTGCCAATGTTGCCCTCTACATCGTCTTTTTATGGCATTGAACTCCTAGAAAATAAGGAAGACTTCTAAGAATCTTCCCAAAGATGCTATATGTATTTATGAGCTGAAGAAACATATAAAGAAATAAAACAGAATGTTAATTAGTCCTACCTGCTCTGCAAATTTCCTTTTGAAGTTATCAATGTGTCTGCGTTTATCAGGGATAACTACAATCAGCAGTGTTACATAACGATTTAAACCCATGAAGGCAGCATACATGCATAGGAGTAGAACTCACACACACCCTAGTTGATACATCTGTAGAAGTGACTTCCTGCTATACATAATTGATGTTCCAAGAATCAGATGTATCAAACTATTTTTTTCCAAGCACATGAGTAGGACTTAGACACACCTTAGTTGATAATCTATAGAAGTGACTTCCCACTATACCAAATTCCAAGAATCAGATGTATCAATTAATCAGATGTATCCATTATCTTTTTCCACGCACATCATGACAATTAATTTCTTTGCATATAATGTCAGGGTTGCTCCTAAGCGCTTATGGTGTATCTGTAACTCTAGAGATGATAAATCACAACCCAATATACAATTCCCATCTTTTGATAGACCAAACAATGAAGCAAATGGTTAGTAAAAATTCATACATAGAAACTTTAGAAACGCCATGCATACCTTTCACCTGGTTTGCCTTCCCAATGGCTTTCTGCTCGTAACCATGCTGCTGTCTACAAAAAATGAAAAAAATTCACAAACAATATTCCCAAAACCCCAACAAAATTGTTTCTTTTCCCCCAACCCCTTTTCCCTTTTTGTTCTTTTGATAGCAAAGAAATGGCATACCCAAAATTCTTCATCAACCACGGCCTCTCGTGCCACAAATTGCCCAAATTCTAATCTCTCTCCTGGCTTCAACCCCTGATCCGACCTCTGCAGCCGATCAAATCTTAAATCAGACGGCCTTGATGGTTCTAAATGAGGAATCGGCTGCGGTTTCGCAATCTGTATGGAAAGATCTTCCTTCTTCTTCGTTTGGGAAGATTTAGATTCCATTTTTCTACCATTTCCGCCACAAAAATCAACAATCAATTCCCTAAAGTAACAAACAAACTCCATTTTCGGGAAAAAAAAAAAAATCAAATTTCATCATATTTGGATAAAGAAACAGCAACTCACATGGTCCAACAGAGGGGAATTCTGTGAAATTTTTTACGGGTCCTCCATCCATATCGAGAAGAAAATGAAAAGAAATCTGGTCTTTGAAGGGAAATCGTAGACATCTGAAGAACTAAGCTTCCGTATTCAGGTTAACTCTTCTGGAACCCCGATTTCCGAATCCCTGGCAACGGAGTACCAGAGAATTCGATTTCCGTCAGAAAACACAAAGAAGAAGAAGGAGGAAGGAGAGACGTCAAAAATAGAAATGGAATTGCTATTGCCAGAGGGCAGAGGGCAGAGGAGAGCAGAATCTTGGTTTTATCCAGGTGTCGGGACGGGAGATATCATCTTTTTGTCTGTACAAAAAAATAAAGGAAAATATATAAAAAAAAAAAGGCGGCATGGCTGCTGAATGGCCCAGCTGACAATGGTTTTGCTTCCTGTTCTTATCTCATGTATCAAAATTTGATTTTGTGGAAGGATAATGATGAATTAATTTTTAATTTTGAAATAAATGATTGATTTTTTTATTAAATTAAATAAATTAAATTTAAGTTATATGCGAGTTAAATTAAGGATAAAATGATCATTAAATAAAAAATTAATGAAATGCCTTAGTTTTTGACATTATCATTATTATTTTTTTTGAATAATTGTCATGTGTTAAATTGATAAGATAAACAGAGGAAGGGAGAAGTTGAACTTTTAAAAGGGTTACAGATGTCATTTGGTCTTATGGGTTAGGTTTTAATTTTTGACATTATTTATTTATGAGAAAAAGGAAAAATTAAACCTTATTAATATTAAAGAGTCAAAATATTTAATAATAATCATATAATATATAAAGTATGTTGTGGATCTTAATTTTATTAAGTTTATCATATAATTATTATTGAACGCTTTGAGTGTTCTAATTTTTTTTTCTCTTTGTTTATTATATAACAGTTTTGCTTTAATGACAAAATTATTTCAAATTGGTTAGCCTCACAGCATTGTATAAATTTAAATTCTTAACCAATGTAAAACTTCAATTGGCTGGTAAGCATACATCCACTTCAAGTTTTGAGCAAGTTTCCAATCGTTTCAGGTCTGTTTGGTGACATCCGATTGGGTGTTAGGTGGCTGGAACTTATAGGGAGATCAATGGTTAAGGTTGTGATTAGTGTCCTCCATCTCTATTAGGGTCTGGCTTGTGGTGCTGAGATTGGTGATTTTGTGATTTTGTGCGTAGCATCTTTATGTTTTGGCTTGCTAGGTGCTTATATCTTTCTTGCTGTTTGGCTTAAAATGGAATGGAAATGGAGGAATTGTAATGATAGATTTTAGGGCCATAGTGGGATGATTAAGGGAAAGATTAAGGAACATTTAATTGCTAGGAGATGGAGGGTTTGACCCCCACAAAAGGATGACTTGTTTAAGCTTCACTTGACTTGTAGCAATACACTGGCATATTGGTTCAAAAGGATGACATCTGGGGAACAACACAATTTTTCTGTGGCTTTTTATGAACAAGTAACTTCTATTGGTTCGATATTTATTATAAACGAAAGAGATTATAATTATGCGGTTTCTGTTTGTGTCATATATCCCCCGATGGTCCTTGCCACCAAAATACCAGAGAATGTTGCAAATGGAATTAGCCCAAAGGGTTTAGGACTTGGGAGCATATTTGTTTTCTTGCTGTTGGAATGGAATAAGCAAAATAAAATATCTCAAATTAGGATTATAAAGTTTTAATTTGTGTTTTGTTTTTGGTTTTCAAAATTTAAACAGTAACAATTGCAAAAGAAAATACAAAAAAGGGACTAAACTCTTTTCACACGAAAGATTGGGGACGAAAATTCTTTTTTTAATATACCATTTGAGATCTCATTTTGAAAATGGCATTCCCATAGTGTGTGTAGAAATAAACTAAGTTCCAATATGTAGATGGATAATATTTGCATTTCGATTAAATATAAATTTAATGTAATTGGTGATTAATTATTGATGTTAAAATTAATATTTTTAAAATTTAAAATTATAACTAATCATATTAAATCTATATCATATGTATCCCAATTACATAGAAAGTGTTTAAAATTTCTTTTTTATGAGAAAAAAGAAGAAAGATAAAAATAATTTTTTATATAATTTTCACATATTATTAAATGAGTAAATGTATTTAATATCGTAAATTTTAAATGAACAAAAAAAAACTAATTATTTAAATAATTAGTAAAATTATATAAAAAATTTATTTCAAAATAATTTTCCATTAAAAAAAGTGACTAACCGAAAAATCAGCAGTCGCAATGGCTATAAAAAAAAGAAGTTGCATGTAACTACTAAAAAAACAGAGTTGCACTACCGAGGGGGTTGGATCGAGCTCGAGACTTTGTGTACGCAGCAGTCCTCGTTGGGAGACTCACCCACCATTTTCAGATACGCGACACGGGTCGGATCCGAATTAGTCGGGATGAAGCCTCGTATACCGAGCGAGAAACCAAAAAAAAAAACAGAGTTGCACATGCTATTTTTAATTTTTGATTTAGTATCCGAAGATGAGTTGGAGTCTGAATTTTATATAAAGTTTGGATATTAAGCATTAGAAACCCCAAGCCCAGTAGACAGGATTGGTAATAACACCCCACACATCCAGTGGGCCATAACAGTGGTAAGCTAAGAAAAACTAGAAAAATTAACGGCCCACACATCACATCATGGGCATTTGAATCGGCAATGCTGCTAAGTGATGGCATCGTTGTCTTTAGCCTTCAATCTCTGTGATCATAACTGTCTTTGCAATCCTCCGACTCTGTCTCGTTGTTGCTTCCCTCTTGGCCTCCAATCCTTCATGCTCCCTGACCCAACAGCTGTGCACAACATGGTAGCAGCACCACCAATTGCACCAGCACCATTGCCATGAATATCCAACAGTAAAATCTCACTAAAACCATGGCCTCTTGAGTCCCGTGGTTATTTAAGCACTGAAATACTTGAACTTGTATTTGGTGACTAAGGCAAAAAGTAATACACCGAGTATCTGCCTGATCGAGGCAAGTAGAACGGGGAATCTTTGTTATGCAACAGAAACAGAAAGCAGGAGAGAAGGGTGAAGGAAGAGACCACTATTGAAGCTGGGAGAATCGTAAGTAGAATTATGGGGAGAAAATTTGGGAAAGAAAATAAGCTTCTAAGTGCAGAGGAACTCATTTAGGGATTAGGGTAGATTTCAGTTTGAGTTCTTGCTATTGAGTGTGGGAGAAGATTTTGAATTTATAACAATAGCAATGTACAACATACACTTCCCTCCACATTGTTTCAAAGTTGTAGGAATTCTAATGATGTATTTGGTTTTCACTGATGCTTACGCAAAATTTTGCATGAGAAGGCTAAATCACTTGATAAGAAAATCTGGAAATTTCGTTCTCTAAATTTTGTTTAGTTTGTATTTTGATACTTCACAAAGTACACCAAATTAAAACAGTAAAGCATGACTCCACCGCTATAAGGTGCAACAAAAGAATCCAAGAAAGAGCCAGTACCTAGCAAGATGCCTTTAGAAATGATTTCAACGGCAAAGAAAGCCTTCCAGTGAACAACAGGAACAACAAGAAAAGCTGATGTTCTAAGAAAGTTTGGTAAATGAATATGCTTGGACATCAAGGGATCAAATCAAAGCACAGAACTTTGTGATTTGATCATATAAAATAAGTATCACATGAGATTTAGTAAGCAAACTCATCTCATCAAATATGCCACTCAGTTCCACACATGTCCAGTACAGTACCACCCAATTCAAGTTTCCAGCTGATCCTGCCAAATATGAAGTTTGAAAAGAAAAACACTTCTTTTTGGCCATCAAACAAAGAGAGGAAAAAGGAAAACACTTCAGACAGAAGAAAACTTCAGGATAAATGGCATTTCTTAATAATTTAACCCCGCAATTCATAAAAATTTCACTTTGTTCCCTATTTTACATGGAGAACCATAGAACTTCAATAACATCATAAACTTTTAAAATAAATATGTGAAAAAATAATCAATAATGCTTTGCGTAAAACTGCATCAAATCAACAGTAACTCATACTATGGAATTGAGAGGGTAGGAAATTCATAAAAGATGGATTAAACAAGAAAAAGTCTGTTGTTTCTGAAAATTTTGAATCCCACAAGTTGTTATTACATGTCCAAACCCAGTTTGTAGATGTCCATCAAGAAGTTTAAAAAGATAGCCATGCATACCTGGTCTTTTTCTTTTGACCACAAATCATGACGGATGGGTCAGAATGGCCTCAACTCTATCTAGTGATGCTTGCAACCGTCCTGAGTACATATTGAATAACGGTTCATCCGTACCAACACCCCTGTTAAATTAATGGTTTTGACAATAAGCTACATATAAAGTTTGAGTACAAATTGCTAAGTTACAAAATAAGAATTAAGGAAAAAAATTAACAAAAAAATTAAGAAATTAGTGAAAAAATACTCATAACTACTACCCAAGAAGGAGTACATCATTAATTTTGAATTAAAATGTATTTATGTTGAAGGTCACCAGTATAATAGTGGCACATACTCTAGACATGAGTTTATAGTTCTTGCTTTTTCTTCCTATAGATGAATTTAAAGACAAGCCGATACATGACAAGGAACTTGCCCGGTAATTTCTGGAAGAACATAATCAGCTCTCCAACAAAATCGCAAATCCATGCCAGGAAACAAGCCAAGTGTTGTCTTGTTCCGTATTCGGGATATCCCATCCCCGCCAAAACAGGTGGTAAGCTTCCATTTCCATCCAATTGCATTCAGTTTAAAGTTATGATCCATACCAACCTGTTCCCATGAATTTGAGCAAAAGCATTACCAAAAAGAAAAAGCTAACAAATTTTACATTCACCTAAAATTATGGACATGAAAAGGGGGTAAAAACAGAACAACAAGAAATCAAACCTGAAGATTAAGAAATTTGGCAAGAGGGATCTTTTTCGAAAGAACCCCCACCTCTGACTGAATTGGCTTACATACAAATTTCCACCTTCTATCAGGGGATAAAGGCTTCAACACAAGCTTCGTTTGGAAATCATTGGTGGGAGCATTGTAGAACTGAACCAAAACTAAACCAACCCCAATTATTCGCAGCACATAGAACAACAATTCAAGGGTAAAACACACAAAAACGCAGAAAAATAACCTCTAAATTGACACCAATCCGAAACCCCTCGATTTCTTTTCTAAACTTGAGGAACAACTCTGATGGCATCAAATCGATATTGTAGAGTTCATCCCATGAAGGGGGTTCTTGCCCTTTAGGCACAGGCTCCATTTTGAACAAAACCCAAACTGAAAAATCAATTATCAAGTGTAATCAACCATCGTAAAGTCACAGAATGTCAAAATTCTAACACAAAAACAAACACAAGCTCAGTACAGTTAGTAGAAGCCTAGAACTTCGAACGCTGAGGCCATGGGCGAGGAATACCTACCTTTATGCTGAAACTGCGCGCGTAAAATGGAATTTCATGCGCAATTTCGTGGGAAGTAACGGGCTATCTGTTCTGTTCCTTTACAGATTTGGTCTGGTTCTGTAGCGTACTAGAGGGAAGAAGACGAAGCAATACAGGACTGTGCCTCGGCGATTTTGATGAATGAGATTATTATTACTATTATTTCTTATCTTCGGTTTGAGCGTGAGAACTAGCCCTTTTCTCATTTCTTCGATTCCCTTTAATCGGATGCCATTCTTTTTTAATTTAGAACCTTTTAAAATGAATCTTAAGGTGGTACTAATAATTAACAGATTAAGGTTAAAATTTTAAATTTAAATTTTGAGTTAGATAAGAAAAATTTAGAAAGAAGAAAATATCATTTTTTTTACCATTTATTATTATTAAATGGGTTACTATTTACTTGTTTTTTTTTAAATAAAAAAATTATTTTAAAATTATATTATTTTAATAAAAT